GGACGACGACGACGGACGACGACGACGACGACGACGGACAATCACTCATATGATAAGCTCCGCTCGACAAAGTCGACAGCGGAGCTAAAAAGTCAGATGGCTGTCAATCGGCCATCCTTGACCAGATTTTGAAACGAATTGTCATGGACATGCATCCTAACATGTATAAAGTACATGTATGTGCCAAATTTGAATGAAAACTGACAGAGCACGTCCAAGATACTGCATAAAAAAACAAAAACAAGATGCCTGCCAGTCGACCATCTTTGATCCAATTGCAAAATAAATCGTCATGGGCATGTATCCTAACATGTATAATCTATGTACCAAGTTTGAATGACAACTGACAAAGCATGTCCAAAATACAACATTTTCAAAAAACAAGATGGCTGCCAGTCGGCCATTTTGAATTGAATCGCTAAACCACTGCATGTGCATATGTCCCACATAAGGTACTAGGCACATGCAAAGAATGAACGGAATCAGTCCACAGGATTCTGAAATATGACGTTGGATAGACTGACACACGGACAGACGGACACACAGACGGTCGGACAGACAAACTCAGGAATTCACGGACGGTCGGGGACATGTATCCTAACATGTATGATCTATGTACTGAATTTGAATGAAAACTGACAAAGCATGTCCAAAATACGACATTTTCAAAAAACAAGATGGCTGCCAGTCGACCATCTTTGATCCAATTGTGAAATAAATCATCATGGACATGTATCCTAACATGTATAATCTATGTACCAAGTTTGAATGAAAACTGACAAAAACAAGATGGCTGCCAGTCGGCCATTTTGAATCAAATCGCTAAACCACTGAATGTGCATATGTCCCACATAAAGTACTAGGCACATGCAAAGAATGAACAGAATCGGTCCAAGGGATTCTGAGATATGACTCCGGACAGACGCACGGACGCACGGACGGACGGAGACCGAATTATAAGTTCCCGTTTTCGGACTTCGTCCGAACGGGGACTAAAAAATAAATAAATAAATAAATGACCAAAAAATATATATTAAGGTCAGTGTGCCAATGGCAACATTAAAAGTACAAAATATTATTCCAATGAACAAGGCAGACGATGGTTGGTTGTACTCTTGAAAATCGATTTCTACTATCGATATGCAAATGAGGAACGAAAATAAATCCTGTCTGACTTAGTAGTTGGCGTTTGTGTAGTATTCCATGTGATACCTTCATATTAGGTCTACATTTATAGTACAATTTAAAATCATTTCGTACCTTGACATTTCTTCGTCATCATTTGCGTATAAATAGTACGTCTTGGCACCATACTTTGTTAATTTGAATGCATAGTCTTTACCAACATCATGGGCTTTTGTCACAGTGTAGTTTGGTAAAATAATAGCTCCAATTGGTTCCTTATCCTGATGACAAAGCATACATAGAGTGAATCTGATATATAGTGGCTTGGAAGGTTTTACATCTTACTTATTTCCATATAAGTAACCTAAATGATTCATATATTAGTATTTTAAAGATTCTAACATGACTAGGTTGAACAAAATGGTGGATTTGATGACTTACTAAGACATTGGAAGTGTGGAAGGTTTTACATCTTAATTATTTTCATATAAGTAACCTAAATGATTCATACATTAAGTTCTTGAAAATTTAGAAATAGTTATTGGAAGTATTTTAAAGATTCTAACATGACTAGATATGAACTAGGTTAAACAAAATGGTGGATTTGATGACTTACTCAGACACTGAAAGTGAGGAAGGTTTTACATCTTACTTATTTTCATATAAGTAACCAAAATGATTCATATATTAAGTTTCTTGAAAATTTCTTAAAGGATTCTTACAAGTTTCCTTACATACCTTATCAGTTTTATAGTAGTACAGACAGTTGTCATGTTTAAGTACAAAATATCTTTTTCTCCACAGCTTTAGACCACTCCCTCCTTGTTTATATAGATAGCCAGATATTATGGGTTGGTCACTTGGTAGATTAAGTGCATTGGAAACACATGTAGCTACAACCATTGTAGCAGTGTCAGAACCTGAAAAAATAAAACACAATAGTATCAATCTCCTCACAAGGGCATTATATAGTTTATCAAGACCTAAAAAATTGTTTTTGCAGCATGCTAATTTTATGCTATCAACTAAACAAGCAGCCTGTCGGCTGAGATAGCTCTGCTGTTAGGAATGCACATTTATTAAAGAACTGAAGATATCATTAGAAAATGAACAATATGTACAGTATCAAAGCAATCAGACTTGCTGTTTTAAACAAAAATTCAAAAATATCACTTTTTACCAAAAATTACAAAAATATTCACCAAAATAAATTAATTAGAGAAATGAAGATATCATCACAAATTGAACAAATCTGAGAGAGGTCCACATGTAGTACTTATATAAGTAATATCAAAACAAGCAGCCAGTCGGCTAAGATAGCTCCGCTGTTAGCAATGCACATTTCAATAAAAGAACAGAAGATATCGTTAGAAAATGAACAATATGTATAGTATAGTTGGACTTATGGTTTTTAACAAGAAGTCGAAAATATCACTTTTTACCAAAAATGACAAAAATATTCACCAAAATTAGAGAATTGAAGATATCATCATGAAATGAACAAATCTGAGAGAGGTCTACCCAAGGTATCAAAGCATTCAGGCTTGTAGTTTTCAAGAAGAAGTCGAAAAAGTAAAACATTGACACGGATGACGACGGACAATAACTCATATGATAAGCTCTGCTCGACAAAGTCGAAAGCGGAGCTAAAAATCAGACTTGAGGTTTTTAACGAGAAGTCGAAAATATCACTTGACAAAAATATTCATCAAAATTAGATAATTGAAGATATCATCACGAAATGAACAAATCTGAGAGAGGTCCACACGTAATACCTATATGAGCAATATCAAAGAAATTGGAAGTCAAAAATATCACTTTTGACCAAAAATGACAAAAATATTCACCAAAATTAGAGAATTGAAGATATCATCACGAAATTAACAAATCTAAGAGAGGTCTACCCAAGGGACATATACCAAATATCAAAGCATTCAGACTTGCAGTTTCCAAGAAGAAGTCGAAAAAGTAAAAAGTTGATGACGACGGCAACGATGGACAATCACTCATACGAAAAGCTCCGCTCGACAAAGTCAACGATGGAATTAAAGGAAGAGGCTTGAGTCAAACTTTCCCATTCCTCATGCTTCCATTATTATGAGTTAACTAATTAACAATTTTGTTTTAAAAAAGCAAGTATTTGTAAGAATAATACCACAGACTGAATCAAATAATGTGTGAATACAATTAATATAAAACTCACCACTTTGTACATATCTTACAACTTCGTGGTGTGACGCCATGGCAACATCTTTACCATTTAAATTTAAAACAGCATCTCCTATACGCAGACCAGCATCTTCTGCAGCTCCGCCTAGAAATGTTTGAAAATTGGTAATTTGAATTCATTTGCACAAAAGTAGTTTCATCTGCAAATATAAACATGC